CTGGGTCATAGGGCAGTTTTGTTTCTGGTGTCTGGAGGAGCCTCCACCCTATTCACTAATAGTGTCCATGGGTTCCCTTTTCTCCACGACCTCACCAAAACTTACTTTTTGTCTGTGATGAGCAATTCTAACTGCAGTAGTTAAAATTTGCGTTTCCCTGAGAGTGACTGAGGGTGAGCATTGTTCGGTATACCTGCTGGCCACTTGCACGTCACCTTCAGAGAAGCATCTGTTCAGGTCTTTCCCCAGGAGTGAGAAGGTGGAGTTGAGTTACATTCTGAATGCTCACTCCTTAGCAGATGCCTGATTTGCACACACTTGATGACGAATTTGCACACACTTGATGCCTGATTTGTACACACTTGGTGACTGATTTGTACACACTTGGTGACTGATTTGCACACACTTGATGCCTGATTTGCACACACTTGATGACGGATTTGTACACACTTGGTGACTGATTTGCACACACTTGGTGACTGATTTGCACACACTTGATGACGGATTTGCACACACTTGATGCCTGATTTGCACACACTTGCTCTCCATGCATGCAGAAGCTTTTGCATTAGAGGTAATCCCATTAGTGTGCGCCTGCCGCTGTTGCTGGTTATGTTGGGGTCAAATCTAAAAAAAAAAAGCAAAAGCAAAAACAACCCAAAATTTCAGAACAAAATGCAGCAGATTTCCCACCTCCAGTTGTTAGTTTTGAAGTTTCCAATCTTACTTTTAAGTATTGGATCCACTTTGAGTTACCTTTGCTTGTGGTGTTAGGTGAGGGTCCACTCTGCAGGGGCTACCCAGCTTCCCAGCACCAGCTGTTGAAGAGACTGCCCTTTCCCCATTGTGTGTCTTGCTCCTCTGTGGAGAATCGGTTGACCGTGGGGGTGTGGGTTTTCCTGGGAGGTCTGTTGCGTTTCATTGGTCTACACATCTGCTTTTGTGCCAGTATTGTGTGGACACTGGCAGTTCATTCTGAAATTAGGTAATGGAATGCTCCATCTTTGTTCTGCTCACGGTTGCCTTGACTATCCAGGGGCTTTTGTGTTTACTACTTTCCTATTTCTATGAGAAATGTCATTCAAGTGGAAAATACCACTGAAATTTTAATAGGGGTTCCATTGGATCTATTGTATTCGGTAGTATAGACATTAAAACAGTATTAATTCTTCCAGTCCTTGAACATGGTATATATTTCCACTTATTTGGGTCACCTTCAGTTTCTTGCATCAATGTTTCTTTTTTTTAAGAATTTATTTATTTATTTGAAAGTCAGAGTTACACAGAGGAGAGGCAGAAAGTGGGGGGGGGCTTCCATCCGATAGTTCACTCCCCAATTGTTTGCAATGGCTGGAGCTGCGCTGATCCAAAGCCAGGAGCTTTTTCCGGGTCTCCCACATAGGTGCAGGAGGCCAAGGGCTTGGGCTACCTTCTGCTGTTTTCCCAGGCCATAGAAGAGAGCTGGATTGGAAGTGGAACAGCCGGGTCTTGAACTGGCATCCCCATATGCGATGCTGGCTCTTCAGGCCAGGGTGTTAACTTGCTGTGCCACAGCGCTGGCCCCTGCATCAATGTTTCATAGTTTTCAGTGCACAGATCTTTTAACCCTTGGTTAATTTTACTTTATCTTATTATGAATAAGATTTTTAAAAATTTCCTTTTCATATAGCTTGTAGTTAATATATAGAAATGCTATTGGGTTTTTATGATGATTTTATATCCTGATACCTTACTGGAATTCACTTGTTAGTTATAACAATTTTTTGAACCAGTCTATATGGTTTTCTGTATATAATATTGTGTCTTTGCAAAGAAGACAGTTTTACTTCTTTTCCAATTTCGTGCCTTTTACTTACTTTTCTTTCCTGACTGCTCTGGCTAGGATTGTCAGTATTCTGCTGAATAGTAGTGGTGGGATCATCCCTGTTATTCACACATTGGCTTTAAGATTTTCACCATTGAGGGTGACATTGGCAGTGAGCTGTCACACGTGCCCTCACTATGGACTATTCCACTGGCAGTGAGCTGTCACACGTGGTCTCACTGTGCATGATGACACTGGCTGTGAGCTGTCACACATGGCCTCACAGTGGAGGGTGACCCTGGCTGCGCACTGTCACACGTGGCCTCACAGTGGAAGGTGACCCTGGCTGCGTGCTGTCACACGTGGCCTCACAGTGGAGGGTGACCCTGGCTGCAGGCTGTCACACGTGGCCTCACAGTGGAGGGTGACCCTGGCTGCACGCTGTCACACGTGGCCTCACAGTGGAGGGTGACCTTGGCTGCGCACTGTCACACGTGGCCTCACTGTGGATGATGACCCTGGCTATGAGCTGTCACACGTGGCCTCACAGTGGAGGGTGACCCTGGCTGCACGCTGTCACACGTGGCCTCACTGTGGACGATGACCCTGGCTGTGAGCTGTCACACGTGGCTGTTATGTGGACATACATCCATCCCTTTTGTGCCGTAATTTGTGGAGCATTTTCATTGTGCAGTGATGATGAATTTTGGCAGATGCTGACTCTGCATATTTTTTTTAAAGATTTTTCTGTATTTATTTGACAGATAGGAATACAGACAGTGAGAGAGAGAGACAGAGAGAAAGGTCTTCCTTCCACTGGTTCACTCCCCAAATGGCCGCAACGGCTAGAGCTGCACCGATCTGAAGCCAGGATCCAGGTGCTTCTTCCTGGTCTCCCATACGGGTACAGGGGCCCAAGCACTTGGGCCATCCTCCACTGCCTTCCTGGGCCACAGCAGGGAGCTGAGTCAGAAGAGGAGCAACTGGGACTAGAACCAGTGCCCATGTGGGATGCCGGCGCCGCAGGTGGAGGATTAACCTAGTGCACATGGCACAGGTCCCTGCAGGTGGAGGATTCACCTAGTGCACATGGCACCCGCCCCCTGCAGGTGGAGGATTAACCTAGTGCACATGGCACAGGTCCCTGCAGGTGGAGGATCAACCTAGTGCACATGGCACCAGCCCCCTGCAGGTGGAGGATTCACCTAGTGCACATGGCACCAGTCCCCCTGCAGGTGGAGGATTAACCTAGTGCACATGGCACCAGCCCCCTGCAGGTGGAGGATTAACCTAGTGCACATGGCACCGGCCCCTCTGGAGGTGGAGGATTAACCTAGTGCACATGGCACCCACCCCCTGCAGGTGGAGGATTAACCTAGTGCACATGGCACCGGCCCCCTGCAGGTGGAGGATTAACCTAGTGCACATGGCACCCGCCCCTCTGCAGGTGGAGGATTAACCTAGTGCACATGGCACAGGTCCCTGCAGGTGGAGGATTCACCTAGTGCACATGGCACAGCTCCCTGCAGGTGGAGGATTAACCTAGTGCACATGGCACCCGCCCCCTGCAGGTGGAGGATTAACCTAGTGCACATGGCACAGGCCCCTGCAGGTGGAGGATTAACCTAGTGCACATGGCACAGGTCCCTGCAGGTGGAGGATTCACCTAGTGCACATGGCACCCGCCCCCTGCAGGTGGAGGATTAACCTAGTGCACATGGCACAGGTCCCTGCAGGTGGAGGATTAACCTAGTGCACATGGCACCAGCCCCCTGCAGGTGGAGGATTCACCTAGTGCACATGGCACCAGCCCCCTGCAGGTGGAGGATTAACCTAGTGCACATGGCACAGGTCCCTGCAGGTGGAGGATCAACCTAGTGCACATGGCACCAGCCCCCTGCAGGTGGAGGATTCACCTAGTGCACATGGCACCAGTCCCCCTGCAGGTGGAGGATTAACCTAGTGCACATGGCACCAGCCCCCTGCAGGTGGAGGATTAACCTAGTGCACATGGCACCGGCCCCTCTGGAGGTGGAGGATTAACCTAGTGCCCATGTGGGATGCCGGCGCCGCAGGTGGAGGATTAACCTAGTGCACATGGCACAGGTCCCTGCAGGTGGTGGATTAACCTAGTGCACATGGCACAGGCCCCCCTGCAGGTGGAGGATTAACCTAGTGCACATGGCACCAGTCCCCCTGCAGGTGGAGGATTAACCTAGTGCACATGGCACCCGCCCCCTGCAGGTGGAGGATTAACCTAGTGCACATGGCACCGGACCCTCTGGAGGTGGAAGATTAACCTAGTGCACATGGCACCAGCCCCCCTGCAGGTGGAGGATTCACCTAGTGCACATGGCACCAGCCCCCTGCAGGTGGAGGGTTAACCTAGTGCACATGGCACCGGCCCCCTGCAGGTGGAGGATTCACCTAGTGCACATGGCACCGGCCCCTCTGGAGGTGGAGGATTAACCTAGTGCACATGGCACCGGCCCCTCTGGAGGTGGAAGATTAACCTAGTGCACATGGCACAGGCCCCTCTGGAGGTGGAGGATTAACCTAGTGCACATGGCACCCGCCCCCTGCAGGTGGAGGATTCACCTAGTGCACATGGCACCCGCCCCCTGCAGGTGGAGGATTCACCTAGTGCACATGGCACCAGCCCCCTGCAGGTGGAGGATTAACCTAGTGCACATGGCACCCACCCCCTGCAGGTGGAGGATTAACCTAGTGCACATGGCACAGCCCCCTGCAGGTGGAGGATTCACCTAGTGCACATGGCACCCGCCCCCTGCAGGTGGAGGATTCACCTAGTGCACATGGCACCCGCCCCCTGCAGGTGGAGGATTAACCTAGTGCACATGGCACCGGACCCTCTGGAGGTGGAGGATTAACCTAGTGCACATGGCACCAGCCCCCTGCAGGTGGAGGATTAACCTAGTGCACATGGCACCCGCCCCCTGCAGGTGGAGGATTAACCTAGTGCACATGGCACCCGCCCCCTGCAGGTGGAGGATTAACCTAGTGCCCATGTGGGATGCCGGCCCCCTGCAGGTGGAGGATTAACCTAGTGCACATGGCCCTGCATCTTGTGAGATGATCAGATGACATTTCTCCATCCTCTGTCAGTATGGGCAGATACGTTAATGCACTTCTTGTGCTGAATACCGCTGAGTGATGGGTGACCCTTCAGGGTGCCATGTCGTCCACTGTGCTTGTGTTGTGTTCCCGCTTAGTCGTGGTGACCTTCAGTGTGCTAGCCAGTCCACTGTTCCAGTGTTTTGTTGAGTACCTTCCCAGGTGCGTCCTCAGGGCCCTGTGCTGTGCTGAGCGGTGTGCAGGTGTGTCCTCAGGGCCCTGTGCTGTGGAGAGTAGTGTGCAGGTGTGTCCTCAGGGCCCTGTGCTGTGGAGAGTAGTGTGCAGGTGTGTCCTCAGGGCCCTGTGCTGTGGAGAGTGGTGTGCAGGTGTGTCCTCAGGGCCCTGTGCTGTGGAGAGTGGTGTGCAGGTGTGTCCTCAGGGCCCTGTGCTGTGCTGGGTGGTGTGCAGGTGTGTCCTCAGGGCCCTGTGCTGTGCTGAGCGGTGTGCAGGTGTGTCCTCAGGGCCCTGTGCTGTGGAGAGCGGTGTGCAGGTGTGTCCTCAGGGCCCTGTGCTGTGGAGAGTGGTGTGCAGGTGTGTCCTCAGGGCCCTGTGCTGTGCTGAGCGGTGTGCAGGTGTGTCCTCAGGGCCCTGTGCTGTGGAGAGTGGTGTGCAGGTGTGTCCTCAGGGCCCTGTGCTGTGGAGAGTGGTGTGCAGGTGCGTCCTCAGGGCCCTGTGCTGTGCTGAGCGGTGTGCAGGTGCGTCCTCAGGGCCCTGTGCTGTGCTGGGTGGTGTGCAGGTGTGTCCTCAGGGCCCTGTGCTGTGGAGAGCGGTGTGCAGGTGTGTCCTCAGGGCCCTGTGCTGTGGAGAGTGGTGTGCAGGTGTGTCCTCAGGGCCCTGTGCTGTGGAGAGTGGTGTGCAGGTGTGTCCTCAGGGCCCTGTGCTGTGGAGAGCGGTGTGCAGGTGTGTCCTCAGGGCCCTGTGCTGTGGAGAGCGGTGTGCAGGTGCGTCCTCAGGGCCCTGTGCTGTGGAGAGCGGTGTGCAGGTGTGTCCTCAGGGCCCTGTGCTGTGGAGAGCGGTGTGCAGGTGTGTCCTCAGGGCCCTGTGCTGTGGAGAGCGGTGTGCAGGTGTGTCCTCAGGGCCCTGTGCTGTGCTGAGTGGTGTGCAGGTGTGTCCTCAGGGCCCTGTGCTATGCTGAACAGTTTACAGCTGCATCTGCAGTGGCCTTGCTTGGCTTTACCGTCCAGGGAGTACTGGCCTTTTGAAGGATTTACAAAGTGCTCCTTCCTCCCCTGTTTTGGAAAGAGTTTGAGAAAGCTTGGTGCTAATTCCTTAATGTTTGATTGCAGGCTCTGGTGAAGCCACTAGACCCTGGTTTTTTCTCAGTTGGATGTGTCTGTTACTTATTGAGTCTCCTTTTTTTCTTTTTCATATTTGTCTTTTCATGACTCAGTCTGGAAGGTTCTATGCCCCTAGGAATTTATCCCTTATTTCTAAGTTATCTGATTTGATGGTGTATAATTACCCAAGGAATGCTCTATGATCCTGGTATTGCTATGGTATCAGTTGTAGTATCTCTTCTGCAGATACTTTTTTTTTTTTAAAGTTTTATTTATTTAAAAGACAGAGTTAGAGAGAAAGAGAGACACAGCGAGTGCAACAGACATGGAGAGATGCATCTACTGTTTCATTCCTCAGATGAGTGCAATGGCCGTGGTTGGGTCTATGCCTAAGCCAGGAACCTAGAACTCCATCTGGGTCTCCCATGTAGGTGCAGGGGTCCAGTTGCTTGGGCCATCTTCCCCTGATTTCCCATGCATCTGATTGGAGTGGAGCACCCAGGTCTCAAACCTGCGCCTATGTGGAATGCTGGCATTGCAGGCAGCAACTTTACCCAGTCCACCGCAGCGCCAGCCCCTAGCTGAAACGTACATGTGCTGAGTCCTCTCCCTTGTCTCCGTCCACCTGAGGGCATGTCAGCTCTTCTGTCTCTGAGAAAACCGACTCTGCTGATCTTTTGTTGTTCTCGGTGCGATTCTCCTCGTCTCCCCTCTGGCCCGCGCCTGTTCCCTTTCTTCTGCTGACTTTAGGCTTAGTCTGCTCGGCTTTTTCTGGCTCCTTGAGGTGTAAATTTAGGGGGTTTATTTTAGAACTTTCTTTTTCTTGAATGTAGGCACTTTTTGCTATAAAATCCCCTCGTAGCACTGATGTTGCTGCCTTGCCTGGGTCTGGTGGTTGCGCCTCCACTCTCATTGGTGTTTAGCCTCTGACCGCTGCTGCTTAAGTTCCACTGCCTCTGCGTTTTCCGGGATTTCCCAGCTTCCTCCTGTTGCTGGTCTCTCTGGGCATGTTCTCAGTGGTCACTGCGGTTTTCTTGTTCACCTGCAGCTGGCAAAGCTTTCTTTTTTTTTTTTTATTAATTTTTTTTTGACAGGCAGAGTGGACAGTGTGAGAGAGAGACAGAGAGAAAGGTCTTCCTTTTGCCATTGGTTCACCCTCCAATGGCCGCCGCGGCCGGCGCGCTGCGGCTGGCGCACCGCGCTGATCCGATGGCAGGAGCCAGGAGCCAGGTGCTTTTCCTGGTCTCCCATGGGGTGCAGGGCCCAAGCACCTGGGCCATCCTCCACTGCACTCCCTGGCCACAGCAGAGGGCTGGCCTGGAAGAGGGGCAACCGGGACAGAATCCGGCGCCCCGACCGGGACTAGAACCCGGTGTGCCGGCGCCGCTAGGCAGAGGATTAGCCTAGTGAGCCGCGGCGCCGGCCCTGGCAAAGCTTTCTGACTGCCGAGCTGGTGCCAGTGTGAAGGGGGCACAGTGGCACGTGGCTCTCGTGGGCATTTTTCTCGATTACTCCTGAGGTTGAGCACATCTTCCGTGTTTACTTCCCCTTTGTGGGTCCTATATTGTGAAATGCCTGTTTCTGTTGTTTGTACCGTCACCCCCCTTCATCCACGGCGATGCATTCCAGAACCGCGGTGGGGCCTCATGCGCACCTGCGATAGCGTCTCCAGACCCTCTCGGATGTTGCTGTTTTATTTAGAGGAAAGTCACAGAACATGCATCACGAACACAGATGCACACGTGCTGAATGATCTGGCGGAGTGTGAAGGGTGCCCCTCACTGTGAGCTGGTGCTCAGTGCCTCTCAGCGCACAGGCGGTGGGTCTCATGGAATGCATGCTCGTCTGGAACACGAGTGAGTGGAAACCAGCAACGGAGGGGCCTGACACAGGTGCAAGGCCACACGCCATCATGTTGGATGTGGAGATGCACGGATGTTACTCCTGACTCTCACCCTCCCATCGCCTTTCCTTCAGGCCAGGACAGGAAATAAAGACACATATTTGAAAAGGAAAAAACTAAAATCTTCACAGATAACTTGATCATATATTTTTTAAAAATCTAACAATAGGGCTGGCGCTGTGGCTCACTAGGCTAATCCTCCGCCTGCAGCGCCGGCACACCGGGTTCTAGTCCCAGTTGGGGGGCTGGATTCTGTCCCGGTTGCCCCTCTTCCAGGCCAGCTCTCTGCTGTGGCCCGGGAGTGCAGTGGAGGATGGCCCAGGTCCTTGGGCCCTGCACCCACATGGGAGACCAGGAGAAGCACCTGGCTCCTGGCTTCGGATCAGTGCGGTGCGCCGGCTGCAGCGCGCCAGCCACAGCGGCCATTGGAGGGTGAACCAACGGTAAAGGAAGACCTTTCTCTCTCTGTCTCTCTCACTTTCCACTCTGCCTGTCAAAAATAAATAAAAAATAAAAAATAAAAAAATTTTAAAAAACTAACAATAGAATCTAAACTATTTGAGGAAAAATAAATTTAACAAGGTCACAGGATCAAAGTCAGTGTACAGAAGTATTGACAGTTTAAATGCTTGCAAATTCAATTTCAGTGAGCATTCTAAAAATTGTAAAAAGTGACAAGAAGTAAAATAAGCAGGATGTCAGGGTTGCTGTGCCAAACGCTGCAAAGCACCGCTGTGGGGAAGTAAACAAGTTCTGGAGAAGCAGAGAGGCAGATTCCTCATGGGCTGAGAACCTTAATGTTGTGACGTCGCCCCGTCCCAGATCAAAGTGTAGCATCAGCGTCTTCCCATCACAATCTCAGCTCACTCGAAGAAGCAGACACGGAAGTGCAGAGTGGGCGTGTGGAGCTGCAGGCCGGGCACCGGATTGCAGGGTTCTCTGTGGGGCTGCACCAGTTGAGACACACGTTGGTGTCCGAGCAGGTGATGGATCAGCACAGTGGACCCTGGGCCCCTCACAGGTGAGGGGCTGACTTTTTTTTCAAAGATTTATTTATTTATTTGAAAGGCAGAGAGAAGGAGAGGCAGAGAAAAAGAGAGAGAGAGAGGTCTTCCATCCTCTGGTTCACTCCCCAGTTGGCCTCGATGGCTGGAGTTGTGCCAATCTGAAGCCAGGAGCCAGGAGCTTCTTCTGGGTCTCCCACGTGAGTGCAGGGGCCCAAGAACTTGGGTCATCTTCTGCTGTCCCAGGCCATAGCTGAGAGCTGGATCGGAAGTGGAGCAGCTGGGACTCGAACAGACGCCCAAATGGGATACTGGTGTTGCGGGCAGAGGCTTTCCCTGCTATGCCCCCGTGCCTGGGGGCAGACTTTTGATGGAGGTGCAAGTCAGTTCAGTGGGCAAAGGAAGCCTTCTCATGGATTTTGCCAGACCTAGTGCATATTTCCATGAGAAAAAGTGAATCCAGATCCCTTCCTCTGCTGACAAAAATTAGAGGATGTCTCTGAAAGCCGGCATTTCTTGGACAGGATGTGAAAAGCAGTCAGAAAGACTGATGCAGTTGGACAGCTGGGCTTTGTCAAAATGAAATACTTTTGCTCATCGCTAAGAAAACAAGTATAGACACGGTGGGAGGAGTGTTCTCACAGAATACCCCTGCTTTTGTCTTTCTGACCCTGGTGATTTCACAGCTTTCCTGTAAACTTGCAGGAGTGCTAATTAAGTAGTAGGCTGTGCTCCTCACCAGCAGCAGGGCAGGGCTTCAGGACGTGGGCGTCCCTCTGCCAGGACTGCGTGTCTGTCCTCTGACCTCCAGGTTTTCTCTCGTGAGCAGGGGCAGGAGGAAGTGTGGTGTCCTGCTGCCTGTCTTATGTCACAGACACCCTCACTGTCTCACTTCCCCTTCACAGTGAGGCCTGTGCTGGCTTCCCAGGGAGGACGCAGTGCCACCAGGGAGCAGGGCACCCCTGGGACCCACGTTGGCACATGGCTTTTTACTCACCTGACTTCCTGTCCACGGGTTCCTCTGTGGCCAGTGTGTGTGTAGGACGGTTGAAACTGAAAGTTAGGATTCGTTGTGAAGTTTGCATTCAAGGTATCTAAAATATAGTCCACGTGTTGTACAGAGCATGTTTGTTCACAGAGGAATCTATTATTTATCATTTCTGCAGTAGGAACTCACTGCTTTTAATGAGCATCCATTTCCGGTAATTTCCGCGTGACACTCCAAGGGCAGTGTGAACGGCCCCGTCCTGCCGTGCCTGTTCCCAGTTTGCCCCCAGGTTCACAGTCAGGGAGCACGGGCACTCGCGCGCAAAGCAGGGCTGCTGTGGCCTTCGTCCTGGAGGACAAGAGGCAGAAGTGCGGACAGAAAAGGGTGGGTGGCAGAAGGCAGAGAACAGGAGCGGGGACGGAGAGGGGTTCCTGGACAGTGCCAAGGCCCTGTCTCAGGCTCCCGTGGGAGTGGCAGGTGCTTCCGTGGGTGCTCGCGGGCATGGGGGTGCCACAGGCTGTGGAGGCGTCAGGCTGTGAGGCTCTCTGGCTCGTGCCTGGCCTCGACCTGCTTGTGGGCACCTGGGGTGGGGCGCTGGGGCTGCTGAGCTGATGGCCTCAGAAAGGTTTTCACACTGTTGGCCTCTCGAAAGCTGAGACAGTGTCATGCATCTAGTGGTTTTGTGGAAATTAAATGGCAGTGTGTTTAAAACGTAGTGAGATTTCTGGTATGTGACAGGGAGTGGAGTGAGCCAGGGGCGTGGCTGGCACGTGACAGAGAGGGAGTGGAGTGAGCCAGGGGAGTGGCTGGCACGTGACAGACAGGGAGTGGAGTGAGCCGGGGGCATGGCTGGCACCTGACAGACATGGAGTTAGTGAGCCAGGGGCGTGGCTGGCACGTGACAGACAGGGAGTGGAGTGAGCCAGGGGCGTGGCTGGCACGTGACAGGGAGTGGAATGAGCCAGGGGCATGGCTGGCACGTGACAGGGAGTGGAGTGAGCCAGGGGCGTGGCTGGCACGTGACAGGGAGTGGAGTGAGCCAGGGGTGTGGCTGGCACGTGACAGAGATGGAGTGGAGTGAGCCAGGGGCATGGCTGGCACGTGACAGACAGGGAGTGGAGTGA